ATCGGAAGATCGACGAAGTCCCACCGGCTCACATCCTCCAGAAGTTTAAACGGAATCACTTTCTTCTCCACCTCTATATCAAATTCGTACGCCACCGACTGTCCGACGAGCGCATCCCTTACATCGAATCCAGACACTCTGAAACCCTCCGCGCCATGGAAACCTAGGCCCTTCACGATTGAATCCCTCAATTCCTTCACCAAATCCAAACATCATAATTAGGATTTCCAATGATCAACCACAAAAAAGACCAGAAAATTTTTTTTAAGAAAAAAGGTTGATAAATCGTCCTTTCTTACCGAGATTGCTTTCGGCACCGGAGGTGCTAGGGTTTCGGAGGTTACTAGAGCACTCACGGCTCCGATCCAGACGAGTAGGAGAAATCCGGCAGTAGAACAGAATTGGATCGCCATCGGACTGTAAATCCGAGCGATTTCTATCTAAAATTCGAAGGATTGTCGGGAATTTCTCTTCTGATTTGAGGATTTCGAAGGATTGGAGAGGGATAGAGAGAGAGTATGAGAATTATTTCTTAGAGGAAATTTGTTTTAATAGAGGGAGAAGATTCTGGAACGAGGTTTGTATGATAGTTGATGGATGGCGGAACGAGAAATTCATAGCGTGACGCGGAGGTCGAATCTTATTGGTTGAAAAATTTTAACGACGTGGCAAAATCTGCCACGTAAGATTATAAAATTACCGGCTTTTACCAGCTCACCATCCTATGCCTACCTATTTATCAAGCTAACAATTCGAGTTTATTTTTTAAAACAACATTTAAGTAATAAATTTGATAGGTAGAAATACCATAAGTTTTTGTGTGAAAAATAAAAATAAAGAAAAATCATGAGGTCTGACCTAGTTGAAATGATTTATTATATTGTTGATTTCACGTGCATACACTTATCTCGTAGACTCGAAAGGTTTACATAGTTTCTCAAGTTACAATGCTTGTGCATGTTAGAGCACGTTACATTACGATATGGATCGGTCATAGCGAGAAATAGTTGTTGGAGCTTTGATACACCATATTCTAGGTTGGCATGACGTTCGAGTTGAGTCACAGTTTTATAGAATGCTTCGTGACTCTGCGAAGTTAGTTTTTGCTTCACATGGTGTTACGTCGCTCCGTAAAGCAAGTTTGGACTCCGCCTGGAGTTTCACATCACTTAGTAGAGGGGTGACCGATGGGTGGTTCGATGATTGTTGGTAGGTGATGGTTGAGTGTCGTTGTTGGTGGTTGTGAGAGCTGGAGATATTCACTGGATTTACGGTTCAAAAACAATGCTAGATTTCAGCTCTTCCAAGTTTTAGTAATCTTTCACCTCAATGTCTCCTTCCCCATTCAAGAAGGGGGGCATAACTCTATTTAATGAAGGAATTTAGATAACTTCATCAGACGGCTTGAAGAGATTCTTTAGATTGGACGGTGATCAATGAACATTTGAGTGTCTTAATGATATTAAAATTGAGTAACCATGGGCTCGTTGGATTCGTCTCACCGAGATGTCCAATTTGACTATAAGCTTATTAAATTTAAACTTCATTTATCATTCCAATTATGCACTAAAAGTTTTATTTTAACAGCTTGATTTGGAAATGATTTAACTCGGATTGGATCAATTTTGGTATCTTTAGATTTGTTTTATTGAGCTGGTCAATTTTATTATAAATGTACTGAAATCGAAGTTCAGGGTGACTTTCAATTGGAGTTTAAACATTTAATGCTTAAAAAATTTAGCTTAAGATTCATGTCGAACCTCGAGATCCATGAAGGATAAAGAAAATTTATTAATGGTATATCAATACCAATCAAATCTTTCATACCACATAAAAAAAATATAATTATTTTAATTTTTAAAAATAAAATACATCTTTTCATGCCTAATTAAATCCCTAAAACTGTAAATTTTAAATTTAAAAGTTACATGTAAATACATAGGAATTAAATGAGATGCTTATAAATCTTATTATGATTTTTTTTTTACAAATATTTATTGCGGAGTGCAAATATACACGGCTTAAAAAAATTTTGGCTTCAACGTATCTAAAATCATTTGCCTACTTGATGTTTAATGTATTTAGTATAATTGATAAATATTTGAGTCAATTTCAAAATAAATATTAATATGACGCGCGACCTCCGGACTCGTCAACCATCATCCATCACAACTCTGCTCATTGGCCACTATTGGTTGCCCACTATGATCGATCATCATCGACCATCAGTCATTGCTACCATTTATCTGTTATTACATCGCCTAATGTTGTATGTATTTGAAATACATTATAGGTATTTAGATACCAAAAATAAATACATAAAACAAAATCCTAATTTTTTTTTTATAAACAATCAAATATCAATAAAATATAATAAATACATGAATTTACTTCAATTTTATTTAGAATACTTCAAAATTTTAAACTCATTAAAGGAGTAAAGACGAGTTGAGCTTGAGTGAGTTAAAAATTTGTTTGTGTTAAACACGTTTGTATTATCTCTTGTTCAAAATTGACTCGTGTTCAAATTAAGTTCATAGGAAATTTGTTCGTGCTCGGCTCGATATTGATCGTTTTGCTCGAGTTAGCTCATGTTCTCAAAATTTCAAGCAAAATAACAAAATTAATTAACATTTATAGGATGCAAATATGAAACATGCACCCTTTTGTTTTGTAATAAACAACACCTATCTAGAGATGTAAATGGGCGTAGTTGAGCTTAAACCACCCTCGACTTGAGCTTTATTAATTAATGGAGTCTTTGCTCAAGCTTAATTCTAAGAGTTCGAGCTATCATACGCCAGCTTACTTGATATGAAATAGAGAAAACATATTATTTTAAACAAGTGTCGCGATGAAATGACAAATATGACAAATAAAATAAATATTTTAAAAATAATTAATAAAAATCATTTGATATAAAACGTATTTTAAATATACTTTTATTGATTAGTTTTTAAACCTTACGAGCTAACGAGGCAAGTGAGTTTGCTTACGAGCTAACGAGGCAAGTCAGTGCTCACTTGAGCTTGGCTTGTAGGTTCATCGAGCTCACTTCATGAGTCATTTATCGAGTCGAGCCTGAGCCGGCTCATGACACCACTAAAACTTACTGTATTTCATAAATTTCTACAGAGAAACTGTTCATCAAAATCATGCCAACTAGAAAATGGAAGCTATAAGAAAGGAATTTGACATTTTCAAAACTAAAAAAATATTTATAATAAGATGAGAAATGAATAAATATTGGCATGAATAGGAAAAAAGAGACCAATCAATAGTGATATGGTCAGAATAAGATCATTGATGATATGCATTCATATATTCATAGCTTATTTGAATAATAATTATAAGGTTTCAAATAGTGGGGGAATTTGAGGTGTTTCAATCATATACATCAACTTCATATATCAGAGTCTATAATGAGAATAACAAAAAAAGAAGCTCAGGTAGTTCAACCTGCAAAACTAATCGGGTCGCCGGATCATACCGGCCTGGTTCATCCGATCTGGTGATCAGACTGGATTCAATCCGATTCTTCATAAATATAAGGAAATGAGTAAAGTGCCAAAATAGTCCCCTCACTGTTTACACGGGATCATTTTAGTCGCATAACATGTAAAAGTGTCAAATTAATCTCCAAACTTCTTAGATTAAAGTTGAAATATATCTCCATGAAAATTGAGGAGTCTAGAGATTAAATTGACACTTCTATAAAATCTGAAATTGAGTCTAGAGATTAAATTGACACTTCTATAAAATCTGAGGTAAATAATCCGCCTGCAAAAGAGCAAGGGGACGATTGCGACACTTCTCTCATATGGGGTGTGCTAGTAGTTGACATGGCAATGAAACTTAGCAAGCATGCATGCATGCAAATTTGAAGGAGCAGATAGAAAACAAAGAAACTGTACAAGCTTGAAAGTGCTGGCTTGAAATTCTTGAAGATCATATACTGAGGTCTCATGCAAGACAATAAATTACCTCCTTCGAATTGTTGTGTAAATAATTTTCTTCTCTGAATGGTACAACTTTGTTTAAAATTTGTGCGTTGACAATGGCGGGATCCTGCAAGAAGAAGGTGGAAGGAAATTAACAAGAGAGATACATGAATGACAGCACGCGAAGAAAAGAGTAGAAGATTGACATTTTATGGTTGACCATTAGCATGAAGCATTCATGAAGAATGTACTTTACTCGGATTGCTGCCCGAGACCTTCGCCACACAAAGGCGACAAGAAACCATCTTCACGGCATAGAAAAGCCCGAGTTCTGATCGACGAGCAGAAAACGCAAGCATTTGGATCAAGCTTTCCAGGTATAAAGGAACATCTCACACCCGAAAATGCTGGAGTAGAATGATTAGCAGACAAAACATAATAAGAACTGTGGTGCTCCTGTTGGCATATAGTATGCATAAAAGCAGAAGAGCTGATATCTTGATGATGCTGAAGAACACAGGGCATTGGCATGGAAGGCCTATTGTTTAGGGATCCAGAAGCAGAGATGGCCCAATTTTCTATTGTTATTCCTTGTTTACCAGCCAAATCCAGCATTTGCTTCTGCCCAAGTCCTGATCCCAAGAGCATGTTCCAGAGGTTTCTTTGTGCTTCCCTTTGGTTGTGTATAACTTGATCACGCATGGCTATTTCAAACTGCAGCTCGGTATTCGCCATTCCCTTAATCATGCCAAAGTAGTTTGAATTCAGAATCAGAATCTCTTCACAATGTTTAAGGGGCCCTAAGGGATCACTTTTGAATTTTATTTTTTATTTATTTTATTTTATTTTGTATATATTTATAGTAGAAATAAAACATTCATGGTATGTGATAACGACCGAGATATTAGATGTTTTTTAAAAATACTCTAAACAACTTTTAGATATTTTGAATGTTTTTCAAAACAAGTAAATTTGTTTTTGAAAATAAAAAATAAAAAGGATATTTACATGTATGCCACAGAATTATTATGTATTAGCATATCTAACACCTAAACTTTTATATTTATATTTATATTTATAGAACTTTGGTGTCACAAGTCTATGCAGGAAAAGGTATGTTTCACTTAAAAAAAGTAAATAAAAATGGTATTTTGATGTGATATTAAAGATTTCAGTGTCATGCATGTAAATATGAAATTTTAAATGTTAGATATGTAAATGTGTCAGAATTGAGTGGTATATATATAAAAACCCCAAAATAAAAACATGCAAAAAATGAACTAGACAAACATATTTTTTTAAATAAAAGCAAAGTAACAAAAGCCAAAAGCAATTCCAAACTAACCCTAGGACTCCTAGCATGGAAACAAAGATTTCAAAAAGTTTCTCTTACCAGAAGCCTGTACTGGCTGAGAATATGCAAGTAGGTTTTGTTGCCATTGCTGCTGATGGCTTCCTCAATCATGTCTTGAAGATGGCGACGATGCTTCTCATTAGCTTCAATATCCTGAAGAAAAAAGAATGATTGTAGTATTCATTCATTGGTGCTACAAAATGTGAAAGCAGAGCGGCAAAGAAGACCCAGACAACCTTCCGATATACAGTGCCAGCCTCTTCATTGTCGCGTATGTTATCAAGAATAAGTTGCCTCCTTGATTTCAGAGCCTGAGCAATTCCTTCATCCTTTCCATAAGAACATCAATCCAAGAACTTATTAGCAGATGAAAATGGAACACAAAAATATAGATTATAAACTTGAACTAATCATCACCCAACATGGTTTATATCATGTTTGGTACACTATCAAAGAAAAATGTTGTGAATTGATGGAACAAGCATTGAATATCACACCTGAGATAAAAAGAGTTAACAACTGAGAGCATCCATAAAAAAAAGCTTGAAAAATAATTATCCATGAAAAAAATTCTTTAACT